TATTAAATATTTAATAAATATATTAATGTAAATATTCATCTATTTTTTAAGTCTTTTAGTCATTTGCATTTAAAGTGGTGTGTGTGTTTGTTTTCTCATGAAACTTTGGGTTGCAAAAGTCCACAGATCTTTCACACACACACACATATATGTATGTATGTATGTATGTACGCGTGTGTGTGTGTGTGTGTGTGTGTGTGTTTGTATGGATGGATCTGTGGACTTTTGCAGCCCAACATTTTGTGAGAAAACACTTGGAATGCAAATGACTAAAAGACTTAAAAGCTAGGAAAGGACTATTTTTAAAAGGGTAACTAAAGTAAATTACCTGAGAGTTTTGAAACTTAATTGTTTTAAAGGATCAATATCAAAACCAAGTTTTATAGAACTTTTAAGTACCACTTTGAAATCGGTGTCATGCCAATATAAAATTTAATTTACATCTTCCTCTAGATGGAGCTCAAAGGCTAGATTTGCTTTAGGCTTCTTTTTAAAGTGATTGCAAAGGATGGAAATAGGTTTTGTTCTCTGACAAACGGCCTTATTTCAATTGGATAAAATAACTATCAGTGGCAGGATCAAATAAGCCTGTTATTGTTTATTTTAGTAGGGTTGAGCTTTGAGCTTTTGGCAGTGGATCCGAGGGTGTTTGCATAAGAGCCTTTCAAATACTCTAGAAGTTGATCCCTTCCCACCCCACCTTACCTCACTGAACTTCTGTGTCAACTCAGACCCTCTTTACAATAGTTCAGTTAGTGGCAGAAATGTTGGTATTCCATTATTGAGAATGTCTTCACACCAATCTGTTTCCCATGACTTCTATCCCACGAATCAGCATGTAGAATTTTGCCTTCTGGTTGTTACTGAACACGGCCTCTAGATCAGGGATATCAAATTCAAGGCCTGGGGGCCGGATCCAGTCCACAGGGTGCTTAGATCTGGCCCACGGAGTCACCCTGGAAATAGCAAAGGAGCAGCTCATGGCGCCTCTGCCAGCCAAAAATGGAGCTCACGAGGGCCATTTGTGCCCCCTCCTCACCGAGCTCCGTTTTCACTGGCAGAGGGTTGTAGGAGGCCATCGCATCCAAAAACAGAGCTTGGGATCTCATTTTTACTGGCAGAGCACTCGGGCCACCACTGGTGCCATCCAACACAAGTGATGTTGTGTTGTCTGTTGTGAGCCGCCCAGAGTCCCTATGGGAGCGGACAGCATACAAATTCTAATAAACTTGAAATGTGATATCATGCTGACCACGCCCACCCTGGCCACACCCACCCCGGCCCCCTGAGGTCAAACACAAACCTGATGCAGCCCTCAATGAAATCGAGTTCGACACCCCTGCTCTAGATCAGTGTTTTTCAACCTTGGCAACTTGAAGATGTCTGGNACTTCAACTCCCAGAATTCCCCAGCCAGCAAAGCTTGAAGCCTGGCAGACTTCAACTCCCAGAATTCCCCAGCCAGCAAAGCTGGCTGGGGAATTCTGGGAGTTGAAGTCCGCCAGGTTTAAAGTGGCCAAGTTTGGAGAACCCCTGTATAAAAGCATGAAACAAAGCCACTGGTTGCGTTCAAGTACAGGTAGTCCTCATCCTACGACCACAGCGGAGGCCAACATCTCCGTCGCTAAGGGAGAAACGGGTTGGAGCGGGTTTCGCCCCGTTTTGCGACTTTTCCCTGCCACCGTTGTTAAGGGAATCACTGCGGTTGTTCAATGAGTCACCCGGCTGTTAAAAAGAGAATCCAGCTTCTCCATTGACCTGCTTGTCAGAAGGTCGCAAAAGGGGGGGACCCTTCGATCGTCGTAAATGTGAGCCAGGTGCCAAGCCTCTGAATTCGGATCACGTAACCATGGGGACTCTGCAACGGCCTTAAGTGTGAAACACGGTCAAAAATCACTTTTTTTCCAGGGCCGTCGTAACTTTGCAGACAAGTCACCAAAGATTGCAAGTCAACAACATGCCTTCTTCCATGGCTACCTACAAGGTTGGACTACATGTCCTTGGAGGGGCCCCGTCAGCCTAACTTCTAAACCCGGCCAAGTCCTGAAACACCGCCCCCCCCCCTTTTAATAGCCTCCCAAATCTACAGCTTGTTGACTTACAAGCACAGCTAAGGCTGGGATTTTGGTCACTGAGCCATTAAGTGAATCATCAGGAGATGCAACCTGATTTTTACAGCCATTTTTTAAAAATCACATCTCTTAAGTGAATCGCATGGTTGTTAAGTGAATCACCTAGTCCTTAAGCGAAGCCAGCTTCTGCCCTTGACTCTGCTTGTTGAAAGTTGGCTGGGAACGTTGGCAGTCAAAACCACAAGAAGCTGTAACCGTCGCAAAGGGAAGCCTGGCTGGTTAGCGCCGGAATTGAGATTCCCACGGCTAGAGGAGGGGCGCGACGTAACTTCGAGGACGGGATCACTTTGTCCAAGGCCTGGTAAACTTTGAACCCTCATTAAACAAAATGGTCCTTAAGTCGAGAACAATCAAAGTTATTCCCTTGTGTATTCTAAACCAGTGTTTCTCAACCTTGGCCACTTGAAGATGTCCGGACTTCAACTCCCAGAATTCCCCAGCCAGCATTCGCTGGCTGGGGAATTCTG